AAGTATACTTAAAGAAAAACAAATGGAGTTGAGTGGTTTCTTTCCTGATTATTAAATGAAGCAGCACCTGACACTAGGGCTGTGTTGGCTTTTTTGGCAGCTACTGCACACTGCTGGCTCATATTTAAATGGTTGTCCACTAGGATTCCAAGATCTCTTTCACAGTTACTACTATTGAGCAAGGTACCACCTATACTGTACCTGTACATTTTGTTTTTCTTGCCTATATGTAGAACCTTACTTTCCTAATATTGTTTCTTTGAGTCCTAGAAGAAAATTTCTGCTGCTACGTAGGTTTGAACTCTCAACCTGGTGAGCGGGAGGCATGTGTCTTCACCATTAGGCCACCATGCCAATCATATAAAAGAGAAAAAATAAATTTGCAAATATGTTTTGGATACTGCACATGCAAAGAAGCAGAAATAATGGTAGCCCTGTGGCATATATCTCTCTTGTCCCCCCCCCATGTTATTCTCTTTATCAATGCCTGTTGAATACATATTTTCCCAAGCTTTTAAAACATACATGTTATTCAGCTGTGCTTATATTATTCTCATCGATTTCTTGCTCTTGTGATTTCTTTAAGAATAACAAGTGGCTCAGTGATATATTTTACTATTTTAATTTGATATGCCCTCAAAGCAGAGTTAGATTGGAAGCATGATAGAGTATAAATTCAAGAAGTAACTACCAATGAACTAGTAATTCTTGCTAGCTACCGGTATGTTTAATCCCACAGAAACAGGATTCACGTAAGAAAACACATAGGACCATTGTTAATATATTAATGTTTTTGGCTCTTTAAATTGTTACAAAAATGAAAATGTGATACACAAACCATTAAAGGAATGCTTTTGACCTAAAACCTATTTCAAAGCTCCTCCAGAAAGACATGTAATTTTGATAACAGTGAACTGTTTTCTTCAGGCAGCTCAGCAACTCACAGGGCAAGGAGGAAACAAAACGGAGGTAATGTAGTAGGAAAACAGAAAAAAATAGCTTCATGTCAGAACATTGCTCCTGAAAAAATATTTCTGAGAAAATATACCTCTGAATAGAAAAATAGTTTCCACTCTTTCATGTAGATCAGTGATGGTGAACCTTTTCAGCATTGAGGGCTGAAAAGAGAGGGCGCGCGGGGGCGCAGCACCAAGTGCCAAAAAGGGAACCTTTTACGTGCGCTCGTATGGGCCACGACCAGGAAGAGGAACTGCCCAGGGGGCTTGCAGGTTGCAGAAAATGAACTTCTGGTTTCTGGCGCACACATATGCGCCAGCCAGAAAGTCTTCCATTTACTGACCCACATGTGCACATGCTGATCAGCTGGCCGGTCCACATGCTCACAACAGAAAATGGAAGATCAGCTCTTCCAGTTTCCAGCACTGCCACACACACAAAGGCCATCTGATGGTCGTGTGCGTATGTGCACCAGAAACCCCGGAAGAGAAACAGGTGCATGCCAGGTGACATGACTCCACATGCCATATCGGGCACATGTGCCATAGGTTCGCTATCACGGATGTAGATGAAGGGAATAAGTAGGATCAGGAATTATGTAGTTCTTAATCTCTCAAAAAACTACAGATTAGGAAATGATTAAATTCATGAAGAATAATATTAATGCCATTTATTTTATTTACCCATTCATTAATTAAATATAAGGTAAATCAAATTTGGTTTTTGCTCAGTCAGCACCAATATTGTAGAATGAAGTTCCTTGCACCTAATTCAAGGGCAAAGTAGAGGTCTTGGCTGATTAAAAAAAATAAACCCCTGAATGTTCCTGTTTGTAAAAAACAAAAGAGCTCTCAAATTCCCCTGCAGGATTTAGTTCTTAATCATTTTCTGGTTGAGAAAAACTTATGTAATATATGGACTAAGCATTTAGGAAGCACATATAAGCAAGATAGACATGAATGAATGAACAAATGAATGGACAGGCAATTTTGATGGTTACAGAAAATTCAGCAAGGAGAACATAGAACAAAGCAGAAGAATGACTGAATGGATGGATATAACAGAAAAACAAAAATCTGAATAGATTCCTCATATGCATAGAGATGCCGATTTTTCCCACATTCACAATCTGAACTACACAGTTATATGCATGGAAAATAAATCCTGTTCACTATTCAGTCTTGAAATCTGTGACTGAGAGACATCTTGTCCCTGCCCGAGCAATGTACTATCTAAATTTAGATAGGTTATGAGGTGGACGGACAAGTAAGAAAACAAGTAAGAAGATGGAAAGCAAACGTGGGCTGAGCTAAAAATAATAACCAAGGAACTGGATAACACCCTAATCATCAGCATAATCTCCTCCAAAACTAATTGCCAGAAAGTTTGTATTTATGACAGAAATAAATTTTCTTTCCTGTTATGCATCCAAAATACAAAAAAGGAGCTGAATTAGGAGGTTTTACATAAAGTCTATGTAAACAAAATGCCCAAAAATGAATTTTCTGTTGATGGATACATAGTGATTCTTTCATTTTAGCATCCCACAAATATTTCCAAATAGTTCCAATCTTCTATAGTTCATACTTAATAACAATTCACTCCATCAGGAAGGAAGGAAGGAAGGAAGGAAGGAAGGAAGAAAGAAAGAAAGAAAAGAAAGAAAGAAAGAAAGAAAGAAGGAAGGAAGGAAGGAAGGAAGGAAGGAAGGAAGAAAGAAAGAAAGAAAGAAAGAAAGAAGGAAGGAAGGAAGGAAGGAAGGAAGGAAGGAAGGAAAAACAAAAGAAAGGAAGAAATCCCAAACACTAGCTGGACAGAAAACAGAATAATTGCATAGGAATTATATATCCATGAAATGCTTGGAACTGGGAGATATTTCTGAACAAAAACCATGCCTAGTTGATGTTTAGATAAACTCGGTTACTCCCATTTATACATATTTTGTTAATTATGATCCCAAACTATTTTCCTTGGGGGTAGAGAGAGTCTATGAACAACTCTTGTTTATGACTTACTTGTGCTTGCTTGCATAGTTTCAAAGGATGGAGGGTTTCTTGATAGAAAAGCTGATGATAATCCTGTAGGTCAAACCAAAAATATGCGCTGTTCTTCCATAGCTACAGATGGAAGAGATCGGAGGAAAGATATTACTACCAAGTTATTATTGCTTAGTGCAGTCTTGCTCAATTTGGCAACTTTAAGACGCATGAACTTCAACTCCCAGACTTCCCCACCCAGGTCTGCCAGGGAATTCTGGGAGTTGGAGTCCACATGTCTTAAAGTTGCCAAAGTTAAGAAACATTAGGTTAGTGTCCTAACTTTCAAGAGTTCTTCTGGGCAAAAGAACACAGTGATGATTTCTCTCCTCCCCACCCCCGCAGTAAAATTTGGATAGAATCCTTGCCAATTATATTCTATCCATGGATGGGTCTGATATTTTAAGGCAGTAAATTTTGCTTTAGAAACACTTCACAAATGGTGCTGTGCGTAAAAGACCAGGAAGGAAGGCAAATTTCAGGGGAATGTTTGTTTCATTGCATAGTAGCATGTTGGCTTGGTAAAGCAAAAGAAGCTCAAATGCTGAATACCTAGGACAGCATCATTAGAAGGTAGGAAAGCATTGAGAATTTGCTACTAGAACGAGTGCAGAATCATAAGAGAACATTAGTAATTTAATCTCTGACTTTTTTTGTGAAGATGGGAAATGAACATGGGTTTATACATAGGTTTGAAGGGGTAGCTAGAGGCAAGCTTCATTGGAGATCTCTTGTCTAATAACCATGCACAGTCTCTCACTGTCTCCTGATCTCCAAACCGGATCCGATAGAGTTAAACAAAGAACCCAAATCAGTCTTGGATGGGTTTTAAAGTAAATTCAGATGGTTGAGAGCAAAAGTGTAGGAGATCTGGTAGAATACCAAGGGACATTCAGTTCCTTGAGATCAATTATAAATCACATTTAATTCAGCACAGTTTGAGTAGTATTTTTGATCCTGGCAGAATGACAGCAATGTATATAGCAACTGAAATACATTATGTATATTTTAATGTACACTTTCCATATAGTAAGGTAAAGGTTCCCCTCGCACATATGTGCTAGTCGTTCCCGACTCTAGGGGGCGGTGCTCATCTCTGTTTCAAAGCCGAACAGCCAGCACTGTCCAAATAATAAACATACTTAATTGCTTTAAAAGTGTATAATTTAATATTTAAGACCTTCGGTCCTCATGTATACAAACATATGGACTATGTTTGTATGCGAGAAATACATTCAGCTTTAATGAATTATGTTTCCAAATAAGCATACTCAGGATTAAAACATTGCAAATCTTTTACCTGTAAATGTCCCATAATTTTTAATAGGTGTCATTTGATAACACCTATAGATAAGAGAATCTATAAATAAGATAAGCATTACTGATATTTTCTAGATATTTTGTTGGAAATAAGATCCAGTGAAATAAATGGGGTGAAATTCAGTGAAATTACACTTTCAAGTAATTATGTTTAGAACTGAAATAGTATGGGCTCAACTTTAAAATAGACAGCAGTCCCAAACAGAAATTGCTAAGGAAACATTGATATTTCTTGAAGCATCTTTCATCTGAAGCCACAGCAGGGGTGGGTTCTGGCTTCTTCTACTGTCAATTCGCTCAGGGACATGTTTCGGGCACGTGCTTCATGCACGCATTCACAGGTTTAAAAATGCTTCTGTGCATGCGCAGAAGCAAAAAACAAAATGGCGACGCCTGCAGCGTTGCCAATAGAACTGGTTCGGGGGTGTGGCCGGCCGAGTTACTACCTACTCGGCCAAACGGGTCCAAACCGATAGAATCCACCTCTGAGGCACAGGCACATATTTATATCCATTTATTTATCTTGTTTTTTCAGTGACACATTTTTCTTCCATTTTTAGTGAAAATTGAATAGATATATTCACACTTAAGACAGAATTTACTACATTGATTTCAAGAAGAAAAGTGATTCCACATTATTAATAGCCACCTTTAATTCTAGGAATGTACAATGACCTGCTGCGAATAGAACTTTTTCTGAAATAGAGAATAGTTTTGTTTGGAAGAATTAAATATACTAACTACAACAGATCATCCAGAGTCATTTGAAGCTGAGATGATACTAAACCAATGCAAGACAGCCCCACTTATTCAAATGTTTAAATTCTCACAATGGAAAACTAACACTGTACTACTAGACTAAAACCACTTCAGCCAGCATATTTATTAAAAATACTAATATTCAGATGTAATTAGCTTAAATGTGCAAAACTGTAGATTTTGAAATCAGTCTTCAGACTTCCTGGGAGGAGCTTACTGGGGGGGGCAGCAAAAAATCAGCTGCCTCCGAATTCCTGGCTACGTACCTGTTTAGAGGATCTTCCATCTGACGTCTTATCAGGTTTTCTTATCCTTCAGGCAAGAGGGAAAGAAGAAACTGTTTTGCTGGCAAATGCTCCTCGATTTTTGCAGCTTTTGTGCTTGCAAGGAAGGGGAGGCTAGCCCAAGGCAGAGCGGCTGTCCGTGCT